GTGGAGAAATATATTCATATTCTAGAAACAGCTTGATGTTAATCTCTTTAATTTCTTGAACAGATTATTACACATGGTTTGTGAGCTTTGAGATAAGGAGATGATCATTAAGAATTAGGAAGTGTTTTTGAAAATGTTAGGTTAAATCTCATTTCTCTTTTCTTAAGGACTAGTGAGTCTGGGGACTCGCATTTATATAGAACACCTATATCCTATCTTTTATGATATCCTGTGCACAAAATATTGAAATGGGAACTGAATGAGAATAGAGTTGAACAAGGTTTTTAGGCAGGTTAATAATCATGTGTAACTCATATTCCTTGTTCATTCCACAGCTTGTGAAGTTCAAACCCTCCCACTAGGGAAGGTTACTTCTCCGTGGCTTCTTGGCTTCTTCTACTTTCTTAACTTCTGATTCCATACATACTATTCCCGGGCTGTCTCATATCGACCTACAGTGCAACTCAGCCTCTCTTTGAGTTGTGCCAAAAGAAGATTCACTCTTACAAAGCATGTATGAGGAACGTAGATTTTTACCAAAGATTTCGTAGAGCAGAATGAGAAGATGATTAATTCCAAGAACAAAAACAACTTTAACGGTCATCTTAGGCATCACTGATTTAAAAATATCAGTTGGGTTCCTGCAACTTGGAGTTTTACTGGTTTCTCAAGTTAGCACAGCCAACACCCTCTTACTGGCTCCTTATATCCACTCTTTCCCTATTTTTTCTCCCGTTCTCTTTTCTTCTTTCTCTTGCAAAAGTAAAATGACAAAATTCTTCTCCCTGGCTCTGCAGTGCAATTTCTTTCCACACTTAAATACTTGGAATCAGCTTACACCAGGCTTCTGTGGGAGTTGGAGGTGGGGTAGCAGGAAGGATGTTTACCTACCTTCTATCCACAAATGCTTATCAAGGCATCTTCCCAAACAAGGGAAGTGCACACTGTACAAGGCATTCTGGTAAATAAAATTGTATTTTCTCAACCTCATCACATGTAGATTTTTATCAAGTTGATCAGTGGGTAAATATACCTCTAGAGATTTATGGTGGATTATTGTGGGCTCTAGGCTCTAAATTTGGCCCTGTCTTACTAACTTCTCTAACAGGAACGTGGGTAAAAGATTAGAAGGCATGCTTGACAAAAATTTTAATGACAGAAAACAGGGAGAGAATAGCTGATGAATTGACATAATCAATAGGTTGGAGTAATAGCCCCAAATAAACACAATGAAATTGAATAGACATAAATGTAAAATCTTACACTTAGATTCAAAAATTTAGATGAACACATAGGATTAGAAGATACTTGGCTGTGATGGTCAATTTTATGTGTCTACTTGACTAGGCTACAGTCCTCAGTTATTAAATCAAACACTAATCTAGTTATTGCTGTGAGGGTATTTTGTAGATGTGATGAAAACCATAAACAGATGACTTTAAGTAAGGGAGATTATCCCAGATAACCTGGGTTGGCTTGATTCAAGCAATTGAAAGGCTTTAAGAATGGAACTGGGGTTTCCTTGAGGAAGAAAAAAAATCCACCTGTGAACGGTAGCTTCGGCTCCTGCTGAAAGTTCCAGCCTGCCTTTCCTGACAAACTATCCTCCAGATTTTGGACTTGCCCAGCCAGCTCTCACAACCACGTAAGCCAATCTCTTGCAATAACTCTTTTAATATATATTTTCTACCGGTTCCTTTTTCTGCTTGAAACCTGACTGATATACTGGCTTACTACTTTTAAGTGAGAAAAGATTTCAATTTGCTCTAAATTTGTCATGCATCATCACTGTGAATGGGTGCCAAAAACAACTAACAGGATCTTAGAAACAACATGCATGAGCCACAGTATTCAGTGAGGTAGAGAAACAGCTCCATTATAGGAGTCTGCAGTGGGATTGTTACGTTCAGCTCCAGCTGCCATAATTTACACCGACTACACTAAGATCACTGTCGGGAAGTGATTTTGGTTTAATCTAAGTTAAGAACTTTATAAGAAAGAGATGTATTAAATAACGTCACAGGCTGCCTTATATGATATAGTGTGCTTAGTCACAGGTATTTAAGTAGGAGCTGGTGTCATCCGCCAGGAATATCTGATGAAAGATAGACTAGATGACCTCTAAAGTTCCCTAATTAATTCCAAGATTCTATATTTTACTTTTAATAAATATGCTTCTATTGCATGCCACTAAAAGCCCTCATTCTTTTTCGTTCATGCCATTTAATTTCCCTTGTCTGGAAAACCCAGCTTGTTGAATGTCTTCTGAATGCATTTCTAGATCCATTCCCTCCTGCTCTGTGCCCTGGGACACTGAACCATATGGACTGCATCAATGGACTCCCTTCCCCTGCAGCTTCTGGTTAGGTTTGACTGAAAGGCACCAGCAGGAAGTATGAAGGGTAGGAAGAGAGTGAGGTAGGAGTGATTATTCTCTGGCTCCCCATCTGGGTTGCTGCAGGTTGGCTTTCTTCCTTGACCTAAGGTCATAGTTCTGTCAGACAGATATATACCTCTTCTCCACATACCTCTTGCTTTCTTGCTCAGCATTCCAATAGCCACTACTGCTCTGTGGCCCTTTAGGCCTACAGGTGGTGATGCCACTGCTGTTACTAGCCTGGGGGGTACTTTGTGGTTTCCCAACATCCTGTCTACACTTATAGAAATAGACCTTTTATTAAACTTTTCTCAAATGACTCAATTTAAATGTGCCAATTATTTCCTGTCAAAACCTTGCCTGATACTTCAGGTAACACACATGCCAACATTTTTATGTCATATCTAGAGCCAACTCTTTAACTGAGCAGTGAACCAGTATTTGGGGGTAAATGTGGGGAAAAATACTCTTAGAATATTAAGATTAAAAAAATTTAAAAGTCTTTGTCAAAGCAAGACTCATAAAAAAAAGTAGAGACCCAGGATCCATAAGAGTCCTTCCAGCTCCAAAACGAACCTCTCTCTCCTCTGGAATCCCTTGGTTCTCAATTTCTATCTATTGGCCTTATTAGCAATAATCACTTTTCTGTATTTATTTCTCTCAGAAGGAAACATTTTCTAGTTTATGTAAATCTTGATGAATGGATATTATGGCTATTATAAGTCAGGGCTTCTCAAATGTCCTTGGAACATCTAAATAGGCAGTGACGAATGCATGTATACTCCCTAGATGTGTGGAGGACAGGAAGACATTTCTTTGAAGTGTTAGGTTTGATAATTCAAAATGTGTATTTTGAAATCTACTGCATACCTTATAGCTGTTAGTTCTAAAACAAAAATGTTTCTAATTATTTACTATTATTTATTTCCCTAAAAACCTTCAAGTAAATTTAGTGCTCAGGAAATCACAGCTGTTTATCATACAGTTCAATATTTGCCCAAAACCATTTTGAGAAGCATGGAATTAAAATTTCTTGATATTATCAGCTTATTTTTGTGAGAAGCATATGGCATAATGGCTAAGAGCTAGAGGACTCTGGCACCAGACTACCTAGTTCAAATCCTAGTTTCCCTACTAAAGATTAGCTTTGTGATGCTAAGGAAATTACTTCTCTGTGCTACAGGTTTCACATCTTAAAAAGTGGAGATAATATAACCTATCTTAAATTGGGTAAAGCACTTAAAACAATATGGAACATGCTCAACTAGCTTATTATTTATTATTATTAGGCATAATATAACCACTTCCATATAGGGGAAAGAATCTCATTTGAAAGGTGACATTATTTACTCTTTTAAACAGCAGAAGCTCTCTTAAACAACCTCTACCTACCTTATTTGCCAAATTAATCCATGCTTTTCATTTCTTCTATCCAGCTTACTTACTGATCTCCACAGCACACTGAATGCCTGCAGGTAGTGAGATTCTCAGAAGTACGTGCACTTCTGTTTCCACCCCTTGTACGCTTACCAAGAATCAGGAGTGCTTGTTCTCAAACCTGTTAGTACCAGTTGTACTGTCATTATAATTACAGAATTTAATTAAACAATATGTAAGATGATTAAATATAAGTGCAAAAAGAAAATGTGTTTCTATGTAAAGTAATTGAAATACTATGAAAAAGCTTGATAAAGGAGAGCCACTAAAAATTATCCAATTTAACTGTAGGTGAAGCATCTATACTCAAGGGGGGAAAAGTCTGCAAATATCTGAAAGGATTCTGCCCGCAGATTGCTCCATAAATGTCTTTAGTTCTTTGTTTCCTTAAAAACCTGAGATGGCGAATCATAGATGATGCAGTTTGAGTGTGGTTTTTTACTAGCAACGCCAATCAGGAGACTAATGCTAAATAAAAAAGCAAGTCATGTTTCTATGTTAAAAAACGGTCAAATGAATGTTTCAATGTATATGATTTAGATTTAAAATAAATTTAAGATATGTACATATCATTTTTATAATGCCATTAAAAACTGATAATTTTTCTCTGCCAAAGAAGTTTCCCTCTGTTAAATAATACATTAATAAAATAGAAATTCATACATATCTGTTAGAAATGGGAAGCTTTCATGCATTAGACTGAAATCAAATGTTGAAAATGATTCTTAAATTTTATAATTGAGCACCAGTTAACTCCTGCACACAGAATCTATGGAGACATTGTTTATATTTTCCAGACCCTTTTGCATCCAGAGAAACCCATTAACTAATCAAATGTGTCTTTACTAGGGATGCTTCTGGATTGCCAAACTAGGAAAAAAAGGGGCACTGTGTTAATTTTGGTTTTCTTTAAAGTGTGAAGGTTTCTACTAGCAGAATAGCTGATAAATGTTTTATCACATAATTTTGGAGATTTTTTATCCATGAATCCTAATTATCATCTTTGCTTATTATCATCAGCACAAATTCTGAATCTAAGATGAGGAGTAGAAGCTGACAAAATTTAAGGCTTTTGTGTGTATAAATATTTATGACTATATCCCATGACTTTTCAGAAAGTAGCTCTAAAATTTGATTTCAGATTACATTGTCATTTTTAACTTACATGCGAGGGAATTCTACTTACAATGATTTTTATTTCTTTTCAAGAGAGCTTTATTTTGAATTCCTTTTATTCTTAATTTATGTTGATTCTTCTTTTTTTCTAAGAGATTTTCTCTTTTATTGATTACTTTATTCAATTTTCTTCGTTCCAATGTATGTGATAAAAATTGTTTGATTTCATTCACTGATACCTAAAAGAAAAAGATTTTTGCTCATTTTTTTATATGTAACTTTTTAAAATGAAACAATAGGAAAGTAAAAAAATCATCTATTCATGGCAAAAATACTAGTTCAATGCAAACACTCTAATTCCTGCTTTTTTCAAATCAAAATGATAGATGACTTACTTCTCTTCAAGAATTCATATCTTTTATGAATAAAAGCCTTTGTAAACCTACTACATTGTCATCTGAACTGCAGAGCCAAGCATTAAAACCTAAATGTTATAAATAAATTTAACCAGTTTAACCAATTTTACTCTTCTATTGGTGAGTTGTCATGATAATATCAATTGAGTGAGCTAAAAAAAAAATGAAGATGTTAGTATTGCCTTACACATCACAACAAATTTATAATCGGTGGAAAGTATAGAGAATCTTGTGACTGGTTAAAAGAAAAATGTAAAAAAATGTTTTCCAAAATACTTTCTAGAAGTTATATAATTAATCTATTTTAACTAGGGAGATTTGGAGGGATAGGTTTTGAGTAATAGAAAATAATGCATATTTTAAGAGAAAACTTAAAAGCTTTATGGGTATACATATTCATGATTTACATATATAGTTTTTCAGGAAAATTATATTGGAAGATTAAAAAAATTCCTTTATGGGTAAAAAAATTCCTTTATGGGCCGGCCTGGTGGTGCAAGCAGTTGGGTGCACGCGCTCTGCTGCGGCAGCCCGGGGTTTGCTGGGTCGGATCCCAGGCACACACCGACGCACTGCTTGGCGGGCCATGCTGTGGCGGCGTCCCATATAGGGTGGAGGAGGATGGGCAC